GGGAAGTTCATAGCACTACAGGCCTACCTCAAAAAACAAGAAAACTTTCTAATTGACTGTCTAACCTCACAACTTAAAGAATTAGAAAGCAAACAAAAAGAAAACCCCAGAGCAAGTAGAAGGAAGGAAATAGTAAAGATCACAGCAGAAATAAATGACATAGAGTCCAAAAAAACAATTCAAAGGATCAATGAAACAAAGAGCTGGTTTTTTGAAAAGATAAACAAGATTGACGGACCCTTAGCTAGACTCACCAAGAAACAAAGAGAGAGAACCCAAATACACAAAATCAGAAATGAAAGAGGAGAAGTAACAACCAACACCACGGAAATACAAAAGATTGTTAATAACTACTATGAACAACTATATGGCAACAAATTCGACAATCTAAGCGAAATGGACAAATTTCTAGAAACATACAGTCTCCCAAAACTGAACCGGGAAGAGATAGAAAACTTGAACAGACCAATAACAACCAAGGAAACTGAAGAGGTAATCAAGACTCTCCCAGCAAACAAAAGCCCAGGCCCAGATGGTTTCACGGGGGAGTTTTATCGAACATTCAAAAAAGAACTAACACCCATTGTCCTCAAACTATTTCAAAAAATTCAAGATGAAGGAAGACTTCCAAACACGCTCTATGAGGCCAGCATAATTCTAATTCCAAAACCAGAAAAAGACACTACGAAGAAAGAAAACTACAGGCCAATATCCCTGATGAACATAGACACCAAAATCCTGAACAAAATATTAGCAAATCGGATCCAGAAGTACATCAAAAAAATTATTCACCATGACCAAGTGGGATTCATTCCAGGGATGCAAGGCTGGTACAATATTCGCAGATCAATAAACGTGATACACCACATAAACAAAATGAAGAATAAAAACCACATGATCATATCAATAGATGCTGAAAAAGCATTCGACAAAATCCAGCATCCATTTCTGATAAAAACGCTCAGCAATGTAGGAATAGAGGGATCATATCTCGACATAATAAAGGCCATATATGAAAGACCTACAGCCAACATCATACTCAATGGACAGAAACTAAAAACATTTCCATTAAGAACAGGAACAAGACAGGGATGTCCACTTTCGCCACTCTTATTTAACATTGTACTGGAAGTCTTAGCCACAGCAATCAGACAGGAAGAAAAAATAAAAGGGATCCAAATTGGAAAGGAGGAAGTGAAACTGTCATTATTTGAAGATGACATGATATTGTACATAGAAAACCCTAAAGACTCCATCAAAAATCTATTAGACTTAATAAATGAATTTGGCAAAGTAGCAGGGTACAAAATTAACGTCAAGAAATCGAAGGCATTCTTGTACATCAATGATGAACTCACAGAAAGAGAAACTGAAAAAACAATCCCATTTACCATCGCTCCAAAAAAATTACGATACCTAGGAATAAACTTAACCAAAGAAGTAAAGGACCTATTTGCAGAAAACTACAGGTCATTGAAAAAAGAAATAGAGGAAGATATAAAAAAGTGGAAGCACATACCCTGTTCATGGATTGGAAGAATTAACATCATTAAAATGTCCATACTACCCAAAGCAATCTATAGATTCAATGCAATCCCCATCAAAATACCAACGACATATTTCATAGAACTAGAACAAATACTTCAAAAGTTCATATGGAACCAAAAAAGACCCCGAATAGCCACAGCAATCTTGAAAAAGAAGAACAAAGTAGGTGGGATCACAATACCAGATATCAGGTTATACTACAAAGCGAATGTAACCAAAACAGCCTGGTATTGGCACAAGAACAGGCATATAGACCAGTGGAACAGAACTGAAAACCCAGAAATGGACCCAAGGCAATATGCTCAATTAATATTTGACAAAGGTGGCAAGAGCATACAGTGGAGTAAAGACAGCCTCTTTAATAAATGGTGTTGGGAAAATTGGACAGCTACATGCAAAAAAAATGAAACTAGACCATCAACTTACACCACACACAAAAATAAACTCAAAATGGATAAAAGACTTAAATGTGACCCGTGACTCCATAAAAATTCTAGAAGAAAATGTAGGCAACAAAATTTTGGACATCATACGGAGCAGAATTTTCACTGATACATCACCTAAGGCAACAGAAATAAAGGAGAAAATGAACACATGGGACTACATCAAACTAAAAAGCTTCTGCACAGCAAAAGAAACAATCATCAAAATGGAAAGGCAACCCACTGTATGGGAGAACATCATTGCCAATGATGTATCAGATAAGGGGTTAATTTCCAATATATATAGAGTGCTCATACAACTCCACAAAAGGAAGACAAAGAACCCAATTAAAAAAGGGGCAGAGGAGCTGAATAGACACCTCTCCAAACAGGACATACAAATGGCCAAGAGACATATGAAGAAATGCTCAACATCACTAATCATCAGAGAGATGCAAATTAAAACAACAATGAGGTATCACCTCACACCTGTCAGAATGGCCGCCATCAACAAATCATCAAACAACAAGTGTTGGCGAGGGTGTGGAGAAAAGGGGACTCTAATACACTGCTGTTGGGAATGCAGACTGGTGCAGCCGCTATGGAAAACAATATGGTGCTACCTCAAAAAATTAAAAATTGAACTTCCATTTGACCCAGTGATCCCACTGCTGGGAATATACCCTAAGAAGCCTGAAACACCAATCAGGAAGAATATATGTACCCCCATGTTCATAGCAGCACTATTTACAATAGCTAAGATCTGGAAACAGCCCAAGTGTCCACCAGTAGACGAATGGATAAAAAAGCCGTGGTACATATACACAATGGAGTACTATGCAGCGGTAAGAAAGAAAGATCTCTTATCCTTTGAGACGACATGGAGGGACCTGGAAAGTATTATCCTAAGTGAAAGAAGCCAAGCAGAAAAAGACAAATACCACATGATCTCACTTATATACGGAATATAATGAACATAACAGTCTGAGGAATACAGTAGACCCAGACACATGGAAGTAGGGCACAGACTGACATCCCTCAGAAGAGGGGATGGGGGGTGGGGAGGGTGGAAGAGATAAACCACAGAACTTATATGCATGTATGCATGACCAATGGACATGGACAACTAAGCCGGGGACAGGGTGGAGGGGGGGTAGGGTAGGGGGTGCCAATGGGGTAAAAAGGTAAAATATCTGTAACAAAAAAATAAATAAAAATTCATAAAACAAAACAAAACAAAACAAAAAAAAAACAAAGGAAAAAAAAAAAAAAAAAAAAAAGAAAATTCAAAGGAGATAACCTAGGAGAAAAATCTAGGTAACCTTGGATTTGGCTATGACTTCTTAAAAAAAATACCAAAGCAAGTCATATAAAGAAAAATAATAATAAGTTGGACTTTATTAAAATTAAAAACTTCTGCTGTGCTAAAGATACTATTAAGAAAATGAAATTCATATCACGTACTGAATGAATATATTTTCAAAACCTATGTGTGATTAAGGACTGCTATCCAGAATACACAAAGAACTCTTAAAATTCATAATTAAAAATCATGATGAAATTAACAAATGGACAGAAGATCTGTAAAGATACTTCACTAAAAAGACTGTACAGATATCAAATAGCATATGAAATAACAATAAACGTTGAGTGTTCCAGTAACAGTGATAACAATAACACCGATCAGAATGGCTAAAATCCAAAACATTGACACTATGAAATTCTGGAGAGGATGTTGAGCAATTGGACCTCTCAGTCATTGCTGTGGGTCTGCAGAATGGTACAGCCACTTTGGAAGGAAGTTTGGACAGTTTGTTACAAAACTATTTTTTTTTTACTACATGAGCCAGTAATCACGCTTGTTGGTATTTATCCAAATGAGTCGAGAGCTTACATCCACACAAAAACCTTCACACAGATGCTTATAGCAGCTTTATAGATAATGGTCTAAACGTGGAAGCAACCAAGATGTCCTTCAGTAAGTGAATAAATTAGCAAACTGTGGTATATCCATATAATTAAAAATTATTCAGTGATAAAATGAAATGAGCTATTAAGCCTGGAAAAGACACTGAGGAAACTTAAAGGCATATTACTAAGTGCAAGAAGCCAATCTGAAAATGCTGCATACTGTATGATTTCAAGTATATGACATTTTGGAAAGGCAAAACTATGGTACAGGGAAACATTGGCTGCCAGGTGTTTGGGAGAAAGGAAGAAGAAATGAGTAGGTGAAACACAGAGCATTTTTGTAACAGTGAAAATTTTCTGTATGTTACGATAATGGTGAATATATGTCATTATACATTAATCAAAACCCTTAGACTATATAACACAAGGAATATATCATAATGTAAATTATCAAATTTATTTAAAAATCATGTATGAATATTATCTTAATTGTATCAAATATAACATACTAATGTAAGATGTAAGTGATAGGGGGATCTTGGGATGCTTGTGAGGTGGTACATGAGAATTCTCTGTACTGTCTGCTTGGTTTTCTCATAAACTTAAAATTTCTCAAAGTAATAAATTTTATTAATTGAAAAATTATTATTCAGTATTAAAAATTAAATAAGAATAAAATAAAATTACTAATTTTAAAGTGGTATATTTGTAGCATTTGTATTTTTGAGATTATTAAAGCAAAGAAACTATACATGGGGATATACAATATATCATAGGGAGTATAGTAATAACTATGTATCATGCCAGCTGGGTACTAGAAATATTAGGGGACCACTTTGTAGAGTATATGATAGCCTAACCACTATGCTATATACCTGAAACTAATAAAAAGTAATATTGAATATAAATTGTAATTGAAAAAATTAAAAAAATAAAGCAGAGACTACAGTGATATTTTTAGAATACCCTGCATATAATCTCATTAGACATTAATTATAAAATTTGTTGAAAACTGAAGCCAGTCCATATTGAGAAATGTGATTATAATGAAGTAATGGTCTATTAATATAAGTGACGATAATGACTCTACAACTTACCAGTGAAAATTATTCTTTTTGTCCACTTGCCTTTTACCAATATAAACACAATCATAAACACAGGATCTTGGATATCTAGAAACAGTGAGCAATAGGGCAAATGGAAAAACGTCAACAGAACTTTGTGAAAACAGGTATTTAAAAAGATGTTCAAACTTCAGAGGAGGGGGGGGGGAGAGGGAAGAGATAAAAAACGTATGCATATAAGCATAACCAATGGACACAGACAACAATTCTGGGGGAGGAAACGGGAGGAGGGTGTCAATGGGAGAAAAAGGAGAAACATCTGTAAAAAAATTAATTAATTAAATGAAATAAAAAAATAAATAAAATAAATGAAATATTAAAACATAAAAAAGATGTTCAGAACTTCTGAACATAAAGTAACTGAGTGATTTAATATTTTAATCAACATTTAAAAATAAAGTGGAAAATTGTATTAGATGGGGAAAGTATATCATATTAAATCCCAATTCTGTATTAGGCACATTATAGTATATTTTGAGCCAAACCCTGGTCCCTAAAATAAATAATTTTTATGGCTATGCATCTATTCCTTTTGTTGCTCCTGCATGGAAGGTTTCATTTTTCATTCTGCTTTTTTTTCTTTGTTTCATTGTTGCCTTTTGGGGGAAAATAAAAGCAAATAATAACTCCCTAAAAATAAAACAGGAAGATCTTTATTTACATGTTTGAGATAAAAATCATAATGCACTAATTGTGTCATCTCTAAGTTCTCTTCAGGCTCGTATTGTAACTATGAAAATACACAGGCAAACACATATATGTCTGTTTAGTCGTTTTTCATTAACATAAAATAATTCTATTTAATCTTACATTAATAGACGATTTATATCTAGGAGTGAATTTCACTGTCTTCCTCTAACTAGTCTTTGCTCCAGTTTCTTCAATTTGATATAATTTCATAAAGTGTTAATGACAGATCTATTATAGGAATGCGTATAACCAAATAATAATTGAGTTGTATAGTCACTGTAGTTCACTCATACTTTCTATTAAGTGATGTTGTCAATTTACTTACTGATTTATAACCTATCTAGATTAAAAAAGAGATTAAAGAGGTGTTATGTTACAATCAACATATCCAAGGCATAAAATTTGATATGAAAAACTGATATAAAAATAAAATTATTGTGGAACAGTTAGAGTTGTTGCATCGAATACATATAATGAATTTCTATATGCTTGAAAAATTACCCATATGCCACACTAAATTTCTGCATCTGTATCAGACAGACTTTGGCTACAGCTAATTTACTGCAGACCACTGTGGTAGTCTATATGACACTGCAGTAAAATTAATGAGGAAAAATTTGAGAATTTATGAAGCAGTAGGAAGTTAATAATAATCTATCCAAAAGTTCTACACTGGGGAGAAATGAACGTAAATAATAACTCAATAAATATTTTTATAGTTTAATTTTTTCACGTGAATTTAATGAAAAATAAATTTGAGGGTTAAGTTGTAATTCATATTATTGTATATATTTTTGAAATGTATTTCAAGGGTAGTGCAATACCATATGTTTATATATTTGAACTGCAGCACATATAAAATGATCAGGAAGGAGTTCGAATTTGTAATTAGTTCTGATAGCTTTCCTCAGAAGATGAAATAACTAATATTTGCATCTGTTTTTCACTGGATGATAAAGTTGCTATTTTATTCACTCACAAAACAAATAGAAAAGACTCAGAATAGTAAATGCAATCTTGAGAAAAGAGAACAAAATAGGAAGTATCACATTTCTTGAAGTCAAATTATATTACAAACCTATAGCAATCAAAACGACATAGTACTGAAACAAAAACAGACACACAGACCAATGGTGCAGAAGAGAAAGTCCAAAACTAAACCCAAGAATATATGATAAGCTCACTTTTAACACAGGTGTTAAGAATATACAACAGAAAAAGGTTAGACTCTTCAATAAATGGTGCTGGGAAAACTGGATATCCATATGCAAAATAAGTAAATTGAATCTGTATCTTACGCCATATACAAAAATCAACTCAAAATTAATTAAAGACTTAAATATAGAAACTAAAACTGTTTCCTGGAAGAAGACATAAGAAAAAACCTCCTTGCCCTGGCCGGTTTGGCTCAGCGGTTAGAGCGTCGGCCTGCGGTCCTGAGAGACCCGGGTTCGGTTCCCGCTAAGGGCATGTACCTCGGTTGCAGTTTGTCCCCGGCCCTGGTCGGTTGTGCGGGTGGCAGCCACTCGATGTGTTCCTTTCGCATCGATGTTTCTCTCTCTCTCTCTGTTCCTCTCTCTCCCTCCCACTCTACCTGAACGAAAAATGGAAAAATGTCCTCCGGTGAGGATTAAAAAGAAAAAGAAAAGAGCTCCTTGACATGGGCTATGGCAAAGATTTTTGGATTTGGCACCAAAAGCACAGGCAAACAGAAGCAAAAACAAACACGTGGGACGTCAAACTAAAATGCTTCCACACAGTGCACAGCAAAAAAAAAAAAAAAAAATTAAAAGAAAACCCACAATTAAAAATAGGCAAAGGACCTATAAGTTTTTCTGAAGAAATGGGTATATGAAAAGGTGCTCAATATTTCTAATTATCAGGGAAATACATATCAAAGACACAATGAGATATCATCTTATACCTATTAGGACAGCTATTACCAAAAAAATGTTAAAATGTTTTGGGAAAGATTTGGAGAAAAATAAACTCCTGTATGCTGTCGGTGGGAATATAAATTGTTAAAGCCATTACAAAAAACAATACAGAGACTCCTCAAAAATCTAAAAATAAAACTACCCTATGATTCAGTAATTCTCTCTTCTGGGTACATACCCAAAGGATGTAAAATCTGACAGATAAAACTGTGCTTCCATGTTCACTGCAGCATTATTCACAATAACCAAGATATGGAAACAACTGAAGTGTTTATCAACAGATAAATATAAATACACACACATATATAATCATATATACACACTTATATATAATTCTGTCTTACAAAAGGAGATCCTGCCATTTGCAACAACATGGATTAGCATGGAGGACATTATACTAAGTAAAATAAGCCAGGAGAAAAAAAACCCAGAAAGATCTCACTTACATATGAAATCTAAAAAAGTCGAATGCATAGAAGCAGAGTAGAAACCTTGTTTTCAGAGTTGGGGAAATGGGGGAAAATGTGAAAATGTTGGCCAAAGGGTCAAAGTTGCAGTTATATGGGATGGATAAGTCTAGAGATCCAATGATTACTGTAGTTTAAATAATACTGTATTGCATACTGAAAATTAAGTAAAAGAGCAGATTTGAGGGGCACTCATCACACAAAAAAGAAATGGTATATGAGAAGATATGTTAATTAGCTTGACTGCAGTAATCATATTACTATGCATATGTTTATCAAATCATCATGTTATACACTTTAAATATATACAATTTTGTCAAAGATTAAAATTTCAATATAGGAGCACTGTCAACTTTATCAATTTTTGTAGATGATTTGATTCACCTTCTGCTTGAAAGTTTAGATAATTCTCTTGGGTTTTTGAGTGATTTCGTTAGACCAGTAATGTTTCTTTGTAAATTTTTCTCTTCCATATATATTCTAAGGTAATTTTATAGGAAAGATGAATGTTGTACTATGATGTTGTAGAGGAAGCCTCCCACTAAACCTCTCCAGGATTCAGGTAGGGATAATTTCAACTTGTCTCCAATGCTGAAATCAAGTTCCACATGAATAATGCAATTTAGCATCAAGTATATGGAATATGTAAATGTTAAGGGAGCTTGAAATAAGTGTATATGCCAAAACACATTTTAGTGTATTGTAACCTCTGTTGTAGACAAGAAAGAATGACTACATACATACCAGATACTTAGCAATAAAGCAACATATTTTTTCCAGAGGTGTTTTAAGTTGAAACAAGATGTATGGACAAATTATAAGCTTCAGGTCCTCTTTTGTATCTTATAATGTTTTTATAACCCAGTTGAAATAAAAATATAGTAACGTGAAAATTGGTTTCCTCTTATTTCTGACAAAACATGAAAATGACCTGCCATGATTTGTAGTAATGATAAAATTGGCACTAATATTTGGTAACATTTCCATCTCTAAAGATTCATCTGGACAATGAAATAGTAATGAAGGATTTTAGAAAGAAGAGAAGAATGGGAGAACATTAGATAATTAATTAAATTGTGTATAAGTGAATCTCATGTTTCACTAAAAATAGTCATTCTAAGAAGTCATTTAATCAGCTAAAAGCAGTAACAAATAAAGTGGTTTAATGCCAAGTAGATATGCCCTTCAATAAAAATTAACTACCACTCAACAAATGGTGAGAATTGATCTTTTACTACTAATAATTAACAATAGAAATATACTATCCATACACAATATTGGATTGTAACACAAAGCAAAACTAAATATTCATGTTTATATACTGAAGCAAATAAATGAATGAATAAAGGAAAAAATAGAGGAGAAGAGATGTATTTGCCTTACAAAAAACTCCAAATAATTTATATAGATACTTTCCCCATTAGGAGATGAAGCTCAATCACCTCTCCCCTCTCTTGAATGCAGGGCACACAATGTCTTGCTTCCAAAGAGTATGGTAATAATGTAACTATGCAGTGGAGAAAACTGGCAAACACTACCTTGGCCAGACGAATCAGGTTAACATTCATGTTGATAGTATATACCCCTGACCTGATGGGATCAAAAGGATAATTCCCCTTTGTTCTTTCAATAACAAGTAATCTCATACTAATCAATAGGAATATAAGAGAAAAATCCAAAATAAGGCAGATTCTATGAAATACTTGAAAAGTATTTCTCAAAATGGCTAAGGTAAGTGAAAAATGAAGAAAAACAGGGGAACCATGACAGGCCGAAGAAGGAATAAAATAATACAATGTGATCCTGGAATAGAAGGTGTATGTTAGCAGAAAATTGTGAATGTTGATTCAAGTATGGCGTTTAGGTAATAATAATGCAGCAAAGTTGGTTTTAGTTATGACAAGTATACCATGTTAATGTAAGATTATTAAGTAGAAGTGAAAATGGTGAGAGA